CTCCCCAAAGCGTCACCAACCTCTAAAGCCCACGGAAGGTACTCGATGCGCACTGCCGGGAACAGCAGGGCCCAGGTGGGCGGTGCCCTGGGGAGAAAGGGTGGCATTAAGTGGCAGCTCTTGCCCGTGGGGAGGGTGAGACGGAGGACCCTGCCCGGGGATTTCGTGGAAACAGGACTGCCGCCCCGGCGGACAGAAAGGGCTCCTGCCTCTTTGGACCGCGACCCAGTGCCTGGGGCCCCGATGCGGAGTTGGTCTAGGGACCGGGGCCAGAGATTCTGGGGTGATCCTAGGCCGGGAAACATCCCCTCCTCACACAGGGCTCCCAGGGCCAGGAACTCGGTTGCACCAACCCCCCCTTTTTTCCTGCCGCCTCTGGTGTCACACAGCAGCTGAGGACGATGCTCTGAGGGTGGGTGTAATAATGTTCACTCGCAGTGCCCTTGGGGGCCACCCTCCCCCTCCGCCAGCCAGTCTAATGCAGCCCCCCAAAAGGGAGCCTCGGGTTTCTCTGAACCCCTTGTGTTCCTCCTTTACCTCCCAGGGGCACCAGCACGATCGATGGAAGAGTCGTTCATGTCTTTCACTGCGCTTTAAAACGAGCAGACTTGTAAGAAGCGCTCTCTCGCTGTGGCACCTGCAGACGTGGTGCTCCGGGAAAGCCGACAAGGATCCGGCCTCCTCCGCAGCGCTGAGCCACCCCCCCCTCCAAAACTAATAAAAAACAGGGCACCCCATCTCAGCGCCTCAGCTTCCTGGGGGAAGCCGGGGTGTCCGAGAGGACCTGGGGATGGCAGACTGGAGAAGGGCCCCAGCAGGCTCTAGGCCCCTTCCCTTCTCTTTTTTCCCTAAGACCGTGTCGGTGGCACATTTTTCGGTGGACAGCTTAGCCGACTTCCGTGCGGAGGAAAATCTTGCGGAGCGGCTCGTGCCCTCGCGTAAGTGTGTCAGTGTGAGTCTTCGCGTGTGAGTGTGTGACTGAGAGGAGTCTGCGCGCGCATGAGTGGACGTGTGTAGCTGTGAAGTGTGCGTGCACGGGTGCGTGACCGAGGAGTGTGAGTGCGCGCCCGTGAGTGCGCGTGTGAGACGGCGTCCGTTTGACAGCGAGGAGGGTGTGCGACTGTGCGAGTGCGCGCGCGTGTGTTCGAGTCCCCACTCCGCCCAGCGCTGCAAAGTGCAGGGGGCGGGCCGGGCGGCAGGGGGCCTGCCCCGCTGGATTCCCGCATGCTAGTTCCGGGGCGGTCGGGTCTAAAGGGCTTTATGCTCTGTCTGGAGGGTGGGGACTGGCGCGGGTAGAAAAACGGGACGCCTTGGGCGGGCCAGCTTTCCCCTACCAGAAG